AGGCGAGAGTGGTTTTGGCCCCAAGGTCCGAGATTCGCTCGTTCGTGCCGCCTACTCCCATCATCCAGGACACCAGACACCGAGGACACCAGAACTCCAGACGAGTCCATAGCATCACAAACTGTTCGCTTGGAGTCTGAGTCACAATCACCAACCAGTCCTGCATCCACTGAGTCCGCAAGTTACGAACTAGTAGCACACATGGCATGGGACCTTGATAGGAGAGAACAAGTTGAGATCAATTTGGATGAGAGCAATGAAACCGATTCGGAAGTCCCTCCAGATCCCAATGCACAGCCGAGTAGTTCAGGAGTCTTGCCCATTTCATTGCATTTTGTGAGAGAACCACCATGAGTAGGAAGCATCGCAGGGCAGTTTTGGAGGGCATTGATCGCCTGGACCATAATGATGCACTTGTCAAGTCCAGCGTTGGTTTGAAGGATGTTCCATTCACAGAGCCTCCAACCTTGGTCATTACTTCGCATCCCCGCCTCTTCCAGGAGCTTCAAGCAGCAGATGGTGTTGCAGACGTCTTTGATGACGTCGGCGCGGGAGCTGAGAACCTCAATCCTGATGAGGACTCCAAGATTTGGTACGATGTTTTGCAAGACTACAAGAACATCGCCATTGCCATAGAATATGGACAGCACACAGACCCCTTGAGGCATGGAAAGATTTTGGGTGAAGTAGAATCCCATTGTGACATGACTGGTAGCCGGATTTTGCACATTGATGTTGCCACTACCCAGAGATGGGAGGAACACGAATTTCCGCAGATCCCCCATATCAACGACCATGATTTGGCATTCACCTGCAATGACCCCAAGTGGGCTGAGCTTTTCGAATCGTGGTTTCGTGGGCAAACAATGAATGATGTTTTGTCTTGGCAATTCGTCGATTGGCTGGGTGAATGGACAAATGACACCACTTTAGATGATGAGATGTCTGTTGCATTTGTTGGTGAATTGCAAGAGGAAGTGATGGATGATGAACAACAATTCGATGCCATTTGGGATGACGAAGATCGAGCGCAAGCCAACCCGATAGAGCAGATGATCTCAGAAGAGACACTGGTCGATGAGGTAGATATCCCAGGTCTGCCAGCCGATGAAGCCGAACGACGCCGAATGTGGCGCAAGCTGCCTGCACGTGTAAGGATTGGTGTAAGAAGGTTGCATAGGCAATTTGGACATGTCCCCAAGCAGACACTGATCCATCTCCTTCGTGCAGCAAAGGTCAGGAAGGAATTCATCGATGCTGTCAGAATCCACAGGTGCGAGACGTGTGAAGCAACATCACAGAAGAAAGCCACACACAAGACAGCACTACCTAACAACCATTCGCTCAACCACACTGTAGGTATAGATGTGTTCGAGGTCCATGACATTTCAGGTGATAAGTTCCAGGTGTTGAACATGGTTTGCCTCGGCACGACCTTTCAGCTGTGTGAAGTTGTTCGTTTTGGCGCTGGTCAACCGTCCTCTGCAGAATGTCTGAGAGCCCTGAAGAAACGATGGTTTTCATGGTGCGGACATCCAGTGAACATTGCCTGTGACAGAGGTCTACATAACCGAGGTGTTATGAAGAAGTACATGGATGAACATGGAATCCAGGTATTCCATACTCCTTTGGAAAGCCCAGAGAACCTTGGCCGTGTAGAACGTCATGGAGGTATTGTCAAGTCACTATTCAGGAAGGTCTGCAAGGAGACAGGCGCTATTGGCAGAGAACAGGTTGAGCAGGTCTTGCTCGAGGTAGTGTCCACCAAGAACAACTCCAGCCGAGTTGGAGGATTCTCGCCTGGTCAGTGGGTACTTGGAAAAGGACCCCGGTCAGACCCGAGTCCATTGTCTGAAGAACGGTTTGCCGAGCTTGGAGCTATTGAAGCCCGTCACAACCCAGAGAGCATTTTTGCCTTACAGCACATGGCCAGGCAGGAAGCCCAGAAGGCATTTGTTCACCTCGATTGTTCGGCAAGAGTGTCCCGTGCGCTTACTCGCAATGCTTCCAGTCTCCCTCGGGAGTACGCAGTAGGCGATCTAGTGACATTTCGCCGAGACAACCAAAAAGGGGGCACCACATGGAGTCCCACTAGTCGGGTGATAGGCCATGAAGGTGAAAGGAATTTGTGGTTGTTGTGTGGAAACGTTCCAGTGTTGGTCGCCAACCAAAACGTGAAGATTGCGACGCCGACCGAAGCACTAGCTCATGCTGTTTTGCATGGTGAACCTGTTTTTCCAGAAAGTGTTGTCAAGGTGGAGTTCAACAGTCTTTTCTTGATGCACGTGCGGATCCGAGTGAGCCCGGGTCCCCGATCCTCGTCGAATCTCAAGAATCCGAACCCCGAATCCCAGATGCCGGTTCGCTACCCCCTGTTCCAGAAGATGATGAATTAGATGTAGGAATCAGGCCGGGTTTCTTTAATGAAGACCAATCCGAAAGTGAAGATGCGCTTGAAGAGTTGAGTAGGAGTAGGTCCTCAGGTTCCAACTCACGCCCATCGCCTGCCGCAGGAAGTGACCACGGTCGCAATATGAGGCCCCGTATCGCTGAGCCAGAAGGTGAGCGCGGATCCTCATTGCAACCATCCCGTAGGGAATCATCGGATACTCCAAATGCATGGCCCAATGTGTATGATCATTTGAACGACTTGCCAGCATCTCTGCAAGAGCATTTTGAGAGAGCTCGTCAGAGAGACAGAGAACAGACAGAGCAAGATCGAGAAGATGCACATGCCATGTGGACCAGTTTTCTTGCCCAGACGGAGGAAGAAGTAGATCTAGGTAAGAAAGTCCTGAAGAGCATTCACTATGAATCTGCACCCCCAGAAGTGCAGAAGGCTTTGCAGGAATCAAGACAGAAGGAGTGGGCCAAGTTTGAAGAGTTCGGAGCCGTCGTAGCTTTGACTCCAGAACAAGCGCAAGAACTCATTGATGAAGGGCACCAATGCATTCCATCTAAATGGGTGGATGTAGATAAGGCGTAGTACAAGCAAGGGAGAGACCCTGACTACAAGCCCCAGTACAAGAGCAGGCTAGTTTCGTGCGGAAACTTCGAAGTGACAGAGGGTTTGAGGTCAGACAGTCCAACTGCCGATGTCGAGATGCACTGTCTCGTCTGCAGTTGGGCAGCATGTCATCAGGCCGACATCCATTCAGCTGATATCACCTCGGCGTATTTCCAGGGACGACCATTGGATCGCGTCCTTCTTATGCGTCAACCCAGAGGAGGTTTGCCAGGTGTAGAACCCGATGTCCTTTTTCTTGTGAGAGTCCCAGTGTACGGGATCACAGACTCAGGAAGAGGCTTTTGGTTGCGTTTGGATGCCGATGCACGTAAGAGTGGTCTGAAGGCAAGCCATTTTTTTCAGGGTTGACCTCCCAGGTGAGCAGGGAGGAGACGCATATGCCCTCATGTGCACTCACGTGGACGATTTGCTCTATAGTTTTCTTCCGGAAGGCGAGGAAGTGATGAAGTCTTTTCTTGCCAAGTTCAGTGTCGGCAGTTCAGACACTAACCGCTTTCGATACTGGGAAGCAGTTTGTGCGGGGAGATGACAAGGTCATCAAAGTCGACACAGCAGATAACACTAGGAAGATTCATGGAGCAGATGTTGGTTCTAGGCTAGGCAGTGAGCGACTCCAACAAGGAGACATCACGAAGCTCAGGTCGATCACCGGATCGCTTGCCTGGATCTCGAGACAGACCAGGCCTGACCTCTGCTACAGAGTAAGCCGCTTGCAGTCTAGCATTAAGGATGCAACAGTGTCCACGTTGGCAGACGCTAACGCAGTCGTTGTCCTGGCACACAAGGGTCACGATGTGGCATTGTGTTTTCCCGCGGCTCATCTCCAGTGGAGTGAAGTTGGAGTGATCACGGTCACAGACGCCTCCTTCTCCAACGAGAAGAACTACAAGTCGCAGCAGGGCAGGATCCATTTTCTGGGTGATCTCAAGGAGATCAAAGATGACAAGACGACCACCTATAAGGTGATGCCTTTGTTTTTTGGATCCACGACAATTAAGAGAGTCTGCCGCAGCACTCTCCAAGCCGAGACGTATTCCCTCCAGAACGGACTTGAGACAGGTGACAAGCTGAGAGGTGTGATTGCGGAGATTAAGGGTAAGATTCGCAGTTTGAAGACATGGGAAGATGATGCCCGAGAATGCATTCCGCATTTGGCAATGACTGATTGCCGTTCGCTTTCATTTCTGACCACCTCAATCAGGAAGTCCTGGCCAAGGTGAGTGACAAGCGCCTTGGTATCGAGTTGCAAGGAATCCATGAGAATTTGTGGCAAGAAGGAAGACCAACATGGATTGCTTTCGAGAATGGAGGAGACAAGTTGATCTGGATTGCCACCAGTACGATGGTGTCGGACTGTTTGACGAAGTCCATGAAGCCAGATCTGCTACTTCGAGTGCTGAGAGAGTGCCTTTACACTGTACAGAAGCAGAAGTAGATTTCTCCAATGCCTTAGGAAGACACAAGAGTTTCAATGTATAGCCGTGTGACACCTGTAGAACAGGTTGAGTGTGAATTTGAGGTAGGATCACATTCTGTTGAGCCAGGTTGTCACACTATGTTGTGTCTGCCGCCGTTTGGCTCCTAGGGCCCTTGAGCTATACCGTGCTCGCATTCGAACCGAAAAGAGCGTGTGGACAGTACGATTCCGGTTGCTACCGACACTGTTATTATTTCCCAACAAAAGTACATCATAAAAACATAAGACTCTTCCCCAAACAAAACTTGAATACACTGAACGGGTCTCAACATGTTCCAATTGGGACTCCTCTTGGATGAACCTTCCAATGGGACTGGCATATATACTTACCAGCACCTGGCTTGGCTCTTCCAACCACCCCAGCGGGATCTCCAGCCAGATCTATAAACCCCCCAGCTGGTTCGGAAGATCCAGGTGGATTCCAGGCGCCGGCCAGTCCCAGGCTTCACGGGACCGGACCGTGTCGTGTCTGAAACATGTCTGTGACCTGGTGAGGTTCGAGACCCACATCGCTGAGCTCCTCGAGAGACCTGGCAGGATCAGGTGAAAGTGAAGGTCGGATTTTCCCGCATCCCAGGTGACCGGCACACACGCTCCCCATATTGTTCAGGTGGTCTGCTGAATGACCTACAGCGTCGGAGGGGTGGGGGGAGTCCCATCTGGTCCGAACTCAATGCGTTCGACATGGTTGATCCTCACAAAATCACCTCCAAACCACCTCCACACCTATAAACAAAGTCTATTCAAGACGATGCCTGGACCCGGTCGACCTGCCAGGTCACCACCAGGTTCACTTTGAAGTCGACAAAAGGCACCAAAACTCGGAGATCTGGCAGGGAAGGTGCTGGTTGTTTGAAAAGACACTCCATGGGACTGCCATATATGCCGCCACATTGACCCCTCTGGCACCACCCCAACTGATCGGCATATTTATGGCATATACATGGAGTGTCTGGGGATGTTTTTCAGGTTCCCGAAGCAAAATCCCAAGGAGACGACCTCCTTCCGAGAGCTCCTTGCCGCTGCCCGGCCGTCTCTTCGCCTCGGATGCGGCGACCTATCAGCCGCTGCCAGTGACGAAGCGGGTGACCCGAGGTGAATGTTTGGAGAGTTTGGTTTTCACTTTAATTCTGTTTCATTGGGATGATGGAACTCACCCACTCACCCAAAAGCGAGGCCACTACAGTGCTCTTTTTTTTTTTTCTTTCGTTTCGTTTTTCGTTTTTCAACCACCAGGTGATGCAGTTTGTGGACATGAACTGGACCAGGTCTTTGGTGAGAACAGACCCGAGACGGCGACAGAGCCTGGGGAGTGACCGAGAACCAGAGAAGGACCCGTCTCAGGAGCCTGAGGAAAGGGGCGTTGTGACCTTGAACTGTTACTGGAAGAAATCCATCAAAGAGCTTTATAAGAAGTGCTCACAGAGTCCCTCCAAAGAACTCTTTGCCCATCAGTGCCTGGCCAAGAAGCTTCGCAGAAATCAGCCTTTGAGACGTGACGATATGGCTTGGACTTTCTTGAAGAGGAAGGTTCCTTACTATGCAGGCTTTGACTTGATGTTGCCCATCTCAGAGCCCCGTTACCCCACCGAACACGGATCTCTGTCAGACACAGGCTGTGCACTCTGCGCCATCATGCTCAACGAGGAGGCCTATGTGGATGAATGGGTGGACTACCATTTAGCGCTGGGCATGAGCCACATCTTCCTCTATGACAACAGTAAGACTTGGGAGCTGCAACGCTGGGCGTCTCGACGTCTCAAAGTCACCTCTGTCCATTGGTCTGCAGACGCGGGTCAAGAAGACGCCTATGTGGATTGTTGGAAAAAGCACGTGAGGCCCAAGAACTACACCTGGGTGGCCTTTTGGGATGTCGATGAGTTCTTGATCTTGAAAGATCATCGTAATGTGATTGATTATTTGGCTGAATATCTGGATCATGGATCTCTGTCCCCGAACTGGCTGATGTTTGGACCAGCAGGACACAAAGTTTATGAGCCGAAGCCTGTGACAAAGAGGTTTCAAAAGTCTGAGTCGAAGGTGAATCGGCATGTGAAGACGATCTCCAGATCAGAGGACGTCAGACAACCACATGTCCACTATGCTTTGCTCTGGAAGGGGGCGCAACGGGACGCTGCGGGCTTGCAGTTGAAGAAGAAAGGGTCGTTCAATGAGTTCAATGGGGAAGGGCTTCAGAGCCAAGCGCTCATCTTTCATTATGTCTACAAAAGCCACAAGGAATTAGTGAAGAAACGCTGGCGTGGGCGTGCAGATGTGAACATGACCACGAAGCAGCGGAGGATCCGGATGAAAGATGATCGGCACATCGACCAGTGTTGCCCTCGCCTTGAGCATCGAGCCTGGGAGAGGATCATCGAGTCTCCTGGTACAGGTTGCTATAGCTGGATCTTCTAACTGTGCCAGATATCTGCCGAACTTCATATTATATCATATATACCATCCAAGTTCGGCAGCAATTGTGGATAGTTGGAAGATCTACGAAACAGTCCAGGACCTTCCAGGACCATCCTGGACTGCACTACAGCGGCACATCGAGACAGGAACGACTAGACAGGATGCTCCAGGTTTGACTCATAGACCAAGTAGGACGTGACCCGGTCGACCGGCCCAGAACCCTGTGGAGGGGTCGGACCCGAATTGTTGAAGCAATCCTTAGCCCTGGGAGTCAAAAACTATCAAAAGAATGGTCTGACTAGGTGACCCGAAAAGGAATATGCTTTACTTCAGTTGGTCAAAATATAGTCTTTGGACTTCTAGGGTTATAATTTGAGAGACCAGTCGGGCTGTGAAGGGAGCGTCGTAGCCTCTTTAGAAGTGGTGGATCAAGATAACCAAGTGTGGGGTTTTCAATGGGTCACAACTCTAGTCTCGGTCTGTGTTGGCTCTAGGGCGATGTTGAATTCGTTTCATCGGGGTGTGAAATTTCCCTGAGACATATAAGGTATAGTTTTTTTCCCTTACTAGCTTCTCCCTTACTAGCTACCTACCTAGCGGCCTACCCCCACCCCCGGAAAAATGAAAAGCACACATCCAAGGTATTTGCCACACTACCAGATGTATGATCAACCCATCGACGTGATCGTGAAGCTGCGCCGCAGTAGGGCGCTGCCTGGTGCGAAGACGGGAGAAAAAGCCTGCAGCTCGCGGTACACTCCCTCTACCTACCCTTCTTGGGATCAAAATACCTCCTTACCAGGTCTTCCCTGTGCCCAGTTGGTGCCAGGGTCCAGTGGTCGGTTGTTCGGTTCGTGATCGGATGGCAGTGGATCCTGCTGGCAGCTACATCAAAGTGTCGAACACATCACCCACTCAGTGTCGGCAGTGGATCTTTAGGTCAGCTCGGATCGTTCACAGCAGAGGTGGGTCAGAACCCGAACGTTCGACTATATCGTTAATGGACACTCCGAATCCACGGCTTTATGGGGCTATAAATAGACACCGTGTCGGGTCCTGGTGGGTACCCCAGGTGTTCCTGGTCACGAGTCGACCACCTCTGGCAGCGACTCCCCAGTCCTTGGCCGATTCCGGGGGGGCTGGGGAGACAGGTCCAGACGTCTGGAGCTCGGGGGGTGGGAAGGAACCCCAGAGCAGAGGTGGTCTTTCGTGACCAGGTCACGAGTCGGACCTGGAAGACCTGGGGTACCTAATGGTACCTACCACCTTCAGGACCTCGGGGTCACCTGGCTGGTTTCGCCCCTACACTAAAAGAGACCTCCAGCCAGGACACCCCTTCTTGAAGGTCGAGGTAGGATAGTCTAGTTCGGGTTCTGACCCACCTCTGCTGGGAGCACATAAGGTTGGCCGAAAACCCGTGGTGTGGCAGGCAGCATTGTGCTTGACGGTCTGCTACTTCTCCCAGTTGGCCAACCAGCGGGCCTTCTCAGTTGGGGAAGGGGATGGGAAGGAGGAACGAGAGGAGGATGAAGAGCGTCTCAGTGATGATGGGCAGACGGGCAGCTTAAGAGAACTTGGGGTCGTAATGCTATGGGGTAATTTTTTGTTCTGACTGATGCTGTTCCATAAGATATGTCAATGTATACTAGCATCCTCCCTGCCAGGTCTCCTCTTCGAAAGTTGGGAAAGGCCACAGCCCAGCGGTCGAACCATTGGTGGCAGTGGTCAGATGTTGGTAGATTCTGTCTGATTTCAGGAGCTTTGGATGATTCTTTCAGAACCCAACAGGACATAGCGGACCATACCATGGCCACTTAGTGAGAGAGTCCTGTACCAACCATAGCCTTCTAACACCATTTTAAAAGGGATTGACCCGGTTTTTGGAATGCACAATACCGACAATACCATATGGATACCGTATTGCATTCATGGTCGGATCCCGGCAGCCCTCTCAGCGCCCCGCTGCGTCTCGCCCAAGCAGCCGACCCGGAGGCCCTGCTTGGTGGTGGGCACCGTCTACAACATGACGCCCGCACCCCCGAGCGAACGTAAGCGACGTATACGCGAACGCGGTTCGCGAACGCGGTTCGCGAACGCGAGCGAATGCGTATACGCGACGTGGTGTAGATGTGTATCTGTCAGGCGCAGCTGGAGGGCATGGGCATGGCAGTGGGAAGAAGAGCCATGGCAATCGTCTTTTTCCTTCTTGTTTTCTGTGGGGGGGAGGTCTATATGGCATCACGCATTCGACTCTGAAGGACAGCCTTCGGTATGTTTGCCTGAGTGCCTGAGTGTTGGATTGAGGAGAAACGGACAGCTTTCCTCGCCTCACTTCCGTGCCCAATGTCAACAAAAACTGAGGGACGAGGAAGTCTAGCTTCTCTCAGAGCAAGTAAGTCTAAGTCCTTGGGACTTACACTCGCCCAAGTTAGACCTGCAGTCGGTCCTTTTGAGAGACCCTGTGGGTCACCTGCAAAGACCCTGAAAAAAGCGGGAAAGACCCAATTCGAGCCGTTTTAGACATCTGGTCCGTCACAGCTTAGCGAGTTCGTGGTGAGTTCGTGGTTGTTGGATGTTGTTGGTCCGTCACGAATAGAGGTCACTCAGGGTCTATGGGTATCAAATGCAGGGGACTTCGGCCGAGTCCGTTTTTCCTTTGAACAGATCCGTTTTCCTCGCCGTGATCGCTTTCGCCGTCGCTTTCGCCGCCAGGCTGTACCCGAGACACGCTCCGAAGGCCACCATTAAGACCTACATGTACGACGAGCCGGAAGCGCCCAGATAGACCTCTCCGTCGCACGGATCCACTCTGGGGGCCGGATGTGGAGAAAAGAGGTCCGGACGATGGAGAATGACGTGTACAGCAAACACTCCATGGGACTGGAAAGACCTACATCAGGGATCATCAGGGTGGTTGAAAAAGGATGAAACAGGGGTCAATGTATGTAAATGATGGTTCAGTCTGACATGGCTCTGAAAAAGAGAACATGTCAGACTCTGGTTCTACCAAGGCCCCCGATGGGGCTTCTAGGGATCGTCTGGCATTTTTCGGTCCGATCTTAAAGCGGACCTGTGCCACGTTCGGCCGCTTTCTCATCTATTGAACCAGCCACGTTCGGCATAGTTGGAACATCAAAACATATGCTTTATAGCCCATACACTCCACGGGTATGGGTATGGCAGTCCCATGGAGTGTCTGGATAGTGACCCAACTCCGACATGGATCATGAACTGAAGACTGGGCTCATGTGTGACATGTTCCATCCAAGCACAGAACCACCTTCCAGCCTTTCCCCCCCTTTTCTCCGCGTGGCGCGTGGCGCGTTCGCGTTCAGCCTCGACTCCTGGGATCGGCGGCCGCCTCTCTGCGCGTCCGAACGCCCCCGCCTGCGATACCACGACGGGCGACGGAAGTGAGGCGATACCACTTGCAGCTGATCCACTCCACGCCCTTGGATGTGGCACCCCCAGTCCGCGAGGAAGCGAGGAAGTGGAAGCCAAGTGGAGCGTGTGAGGTTTCAGCGACCGGGCGCCGAAAGGAGCGAAAGGGGCTTCTGGGGGTGGAGAGTGGGAATTCGGAAGTCTTGGCATCCAGGCAAACCACGATAGGTGGTAACCAGTGGTTCCAAAGACTAACACCATAGACCGAACGAATCCCTGGTTCCTGATATAGTGGTAACTGTGACGCACTGGGTTAGATGACAGCTTCATTTGAGTCTCTCCCATGAAACGGGTGGCGATTTGACCATCTCTGACACTAGATGGCTCGACTGAGGATGTGCCACTGTGCCTGTTCCCCTTCGAAGGCGCACGATGATGTCGGCAACAGGGAGGGAGACGCAAGAGCAGAGAGTGAATGAGATGGACCAATTTGCCATTCCAACAGAGGTTAAGTGACCTGAACTAGGACCCTACAGGGGTAGGTATAGGCCTATAGGGGTACCTATAGGATAGTCTTTGTAGGGTTCTTCAACCTCTTTTGGTTTTTGCCGGTGAACCCTCAGGCGAACTCAGGCGGGCAGGGTATGGGTCTCGACAGACCCAGCGGAGTCTCGATGTATTGCTTATACAGTATAGCTTATAGGACCTTCCAAGTCCGGTGGTTTTAGAAGCCTAACAGGTGGTTTCTGGGCACCGGACTTGTGACCAGGAAACAATAGCAAACACCTGGCCATGCCTGCAGTGGGGTCCAGGTATATATCCATGGATGGTGGTGTTGCTTCCACTTGGTCCCTATGACATTGAAGCTTCATCCGCCGAAATTCGTCAGATCACCCAACACCATCTCTGCGCATGCCTCCACTGGAGGCATGGCCAGCACCTGGTCAGCACCTCCCGTATACCACCTTCCTATCCAGCCGGGTGTCTGTGGCCGACCGAAGGTCCAGGTACCCCAACCACACAGGGACTCCTGTCGACTCGACTCAGAGCAAAGGGAAGGGATTTTCTAAGTCGACCAGGACCATCCACCGGGGGTGTCCTGGCTGGACTCACCTGCACCAGCCAGCGTCGGGATCTCCAGGTCCAGGACGCCCCTTGAAAAAGAAGGTCCAGGGAAATGACCAGGAGTCACGTTCGACGGGGTGCCGAACGAACGGAGGTAGTCGGGGTGCCCCGTCGTCACCTCCACAGCCCCTGGATGGGACGAGCCACACCACCCAACTCCATGTGACCCCTGGGACAGGATTTCTTGACCTGGCGACATCGGGTTTAGACCCTGCGGGACTCCAGCACCCGGTCCACCCCGATGCCCGAACCGCGAACCAGGGCGCTTGCTGGCGAGCGTGGGGAAGAACCTTCGGGTCTATGAGCTGGGGAAGCGAAAGCTGCCGGGGGCGCCTGGGGGACTGGTTTGCGGGGTGAAGAACGTCTCCGGGCTATACCTGGAGTCTCAAAGTACCTCGGAAAATGAGTACAAGTACCTGCTTTTCTAGGGTCATGTCCCATTTTCTAAGGTACTTTGGAGGGTCCAGGTATGTCTTAACCTTGGGAGGAAGGAAGACCAGACGCGACCCGTCTGGGACTGCCAGTCCGGACTGCCGAGGAACTCACGGC